AATTACATTTGAAATCACCTTTAGGTTTGGTTTGTTGTATGTGCTTTAGTTCTGTTATTAGATCACCAATACCTTCAACATCTTCAAACTAGACAGAGGTCACTCATCGCTCCCTCATTCACTCTGCTATTGGGCCTATTTCTCTCTCTCTTACTGTAATGTTTCTGTTTATATGAGTGAGTGGGTGGATGTCTTTAAATTATTTAGTGAGAGTAACCGGAGGCCACATACAGGATGAGATCTTTTTGTATTCATCCTCTCAATGGGCTTGACTGAATAATGCATATCTGACAGTCATAGGAAAGTAGAAACAGGATGAGACCATTTGACATAAACACAATAAAGCCACGGGCATGTTATAGTTGAGCAACAATGTTATTATGATGTCTAACTCGATGGGTGGGGGATGGTAGTCATATTTGAGGCCTTTGTATTTTTTTCCTTTGCTTTCTTTTAGGTAAACACAGGCTTTGTCTCAGCAGGGGCTAAAGACATCTGACACTGCTCAGCATGAGCATAAAACATTTACAGATACAATTTTATCAATTTTGTATTATTACAAAGATCATGTGACACGTTTTATTACAAATTCAGTCATTTTAGTCATCTGAGACATTGCTTTGTTCATGTGGAAATTGGCTATTGTACATCTGTTGTAATACTTTGTGTCAGGACTATTTTACATCATTTCACAAATGTTTTGCTGTGTTTCTTTTCTATTATGTTTCTTTTTTGTCTTAACTTATTTGAAAACTCTTCAAGCTGAAGGTTAAACTTAGCTTGAAGCTATGAAATAAAGAGTTTTAATTTAAAGGGGTCATATGATGCGATTTCAAGTTTTCCTTTCTCTTTGGAGTGTTACAAGCTCTTGGTGCATAAAGAAGATCTGTAAAGTTGCAAAGACTAAAGTCTCAAATCCAAAGAGATATTCTTTATAAAAGTTAAGAGTCAGCCACACCTACCTAAAACGGCTCGTTCTAACACGTCCCCACATATCTACCTCACTATGTGGGAAGATTTGCATAACGCCGCCCAAATGTTCACGCAAAGAACATTTTTTAAAATATTTTTTTATCTTTTATATTTAAAGAGTCTTTTATATTTAAAGAGTTTTTATATTTTATATATTTAAAGCGACAGTATGTGGAAAATAATGTGTTTTTTGAACCTTAAACCGTATAAACACATTTCATTACACCAAATACACAAAATACTGTTCTTTTTAGAAGCATCATATGACCCCTTTAAGATCTAGTTCAAACTAGGGTTCTTATCTTATTTTCTCTTCAAAAGAGAACCAAAACAACCAAAGCCTTTGTGCCATGTGAGATTAATGGATCATAAAGTGGGAGATGAGTGTGCATGCAAACTGCCAAGGACAACCGGTCAGCAAGAAATACTCCATCAAGCTTTGTAATTCTCCGGTCAACTTGAATCTATGATTCATGATTTTTGCTCTCAAAAGACACATTTTTCCTATTATCTGGATGGCGTAACCTGGCTCCATTGGGTTTTTTTATTAAGCTTTTTTCTTCACACTTCCAAGTTATGTCTGCTCTAATAGCATCTAGCTCCCATAAATCTACTGCATGGAGATTCATTGTTGTAGGCAAAATAGACCTCCTATCGCTCACACACAATATGGCTTTCGCTCTCTCCTCTAACCCCGAGACTCATCAACACCAACCCATGTAATAAGTTCTGTTGTTGTCACTCTCATTTCACTCTCCATGTGTGCTTCTTCATTCCTTTCTGTTCAGATACGTTCCTCCTTGTCCCTCATGAACCATCCATCCTTTGCTCTATGTCTCACGGCCTCACAACAAAAAGAAAAAAAGAAAAAAGGCCTCCAGAGCTTGGGCTGTACAGAGTGTTTTAAAGGGGTCATATGATGCTTTTTTAAAGATCATTATTTTGTGTATTTGGTGTAACAGAATATGTTGACATGCTTTAATGTTCAAAAAACACATTCTTTTTCAAATACTGTACATTATTGTAAGTCCTCTATGCCCCGCCTCTCTCAAACACTTCGTTTTCTACAAAGTCCCTCCTTCAGACAAG